CCCCCCCCTTCCCTGAGCCTGGTTCTTTTGGAGGTTTCTTCCTGTTAAAAGGGAGTTTTCCTTCTCACTGTCACTAAGTGCTTGCCCATCGAGGGTCATCTAATTGTCTCAATTATTGTACAGTCTTCACCATGAGGTGTTTATTGTTATGATTTGTTGCTATAAAAAATGTAATTGAATTGAATTTGGACTGTGGGAGGAAACCAGAGCACCCAGAGGTCTGGCATAAGTCTCATTATCATGCAGACACGGCCAGAGCAAGATGTTTAGTTGTTGTCTGCTTTTCTGCCACTAAAAGGCGCCATTTCAACATTTCATGCTGCTGAAGCTTATACTGTCTTTGAGACCCATCTGATAGCAGACAGCTGGAGTGCCGGGTGCTCGGCTCATGACGGGGTGATTTCTTCTGTCCCAGGTTCTGTCTGATTTTGTGTTTTTCTTACAGGTGCAGATCCTTTGCACTTTTCTATCTGTGTGCTATCCCTTTATTATGTTTTCTCTTTTTTTCTTCCCACTTCTTTTTCTTTCTTTTTCCTCCTACCTGTCAGCTTATACACATTACACACATACTGCAATAAAGGAAATAACACTAATGAAATGAGTAAATAAACAGACAAAGAGACAAAAGATAACGTTTCCTTTTTTGTCACTATTAGACTACAGTGATAGTATATAACCTGATTCTGATTCTGTCAGCTACTATGATGTACTGTGGTTAGTGGTCACACGGGGAGGGAAACACCTTTGATACTTTTATTTAGACCCGCAAGATTGTTGCTGCATGCCCTCCTGGGGTAACACTGGGTGTGGTCACTCCCGCTCTCACCGACTCACACCGATTGTGTTACTTCAGTCATGTAGGAACAGCAAACTGTAGCAGTGATCATATGACAGAATTATTCTCTTTAGAATTTTAGTTGTTATTTTTTAGGGAAACTTTTTACCTTCTCACGACAATATTACAGACGAAATTTGGACTGCGAGATATTTTTATTTCTGTTTTTGGTTCCTCCGATGAAGCAATCGCCAGCACCGTGTTTACATTTTAATAATGCAAAACCAAAACTTTATGGGTTTTGTTTATCACTATTTGGGTTTTTTAGAATTGATTTGATCCACAGGCGGTATTTTGAGATGTCTGTAAAAACGTTGGGTACATCAGGATAGTCACAGTTTCTGTTTTTGTTGAAGGAAACGACACCAACAGCGATTCCTTTGCACACCAGCGGGCCGCCTGAATCACCCTGTGAGGAGGAGGAAGACTTTTGAGTTGTCTTTTTAAGTTTCGATAAGAGGCCAAATTACAACGTCAGTGATTGGACGGGAAACATACCTGACAGAACCCTTTGTCTGTGCCATAACCACCTGCGCAGATTACATTAGCAGGAAGACCAGGCCACAGTTCCTTACACACCCTTATGTTGATGACAGGCACATCCACCACTCTCAGCTCATTAACAGTTTCACCAGCAGTTATAGTTTTTCCCCATCCAGACACCTGACACACTTCATTTTTTCTTAGTTGTACTTTAGCAGATGGCAGTGGGATTATTTTTACTCTCTTGTTTAGTTGAACTTTCCTGGAAAGCTGGAGACAGTTAGCATTAGAAATGCTCGCACTGTTATGCAGTGTAAATAATTAGATCACAAAATGATATCACCTTAAACCTTTAATGTTTCAGTATTAGTTTAGTTCATACTTACTTTAAGGAGCATGATGTCATCACCGTGCCAAGCCGTTTGATAAAAGTTGGGCTTGAATTTCTTTTTAATTGTTATTTTTTCTTGATGGGACTTCTTGAGATTGTGAGTGGCGAGAACAACGTGCGTGGGATTGCTGGAACAGTAATCGTTGTAATCAATACACTCTCTAAACCAGTTTTAAATGCTGTCAGTCAGATTCTGCCACTGAAAAAGAATAATGACTTACTCTTTGGCGCAGTGTGCAGCAGTGAGCACAAAGTCTGCAGTGATGAGAAATCCTCCACATACATGACCGGTGCTGCTCTGCACTGAGGCCATGTAGAGCAATGAGTTCTCTGGAGCTTTTTTACCCTTTATGATGTAACTCCCATGTCCTCCAAAGAGGAAAAAAAAAAACAAGTTGATGCTCCCGACAGATAGTCAGAGAATGATAATTGATGATTAATTCTTACCAGCTTGTCTGAGACATGTGAAGACATGGAAGAACAGAAGTTTCTGCAGAGCGTGCATGATGCCATCAAAACACCATGTGTCACATTGACCCTTTTATGCTGCAGCTTGCTTCAGTGACTTCTAACCACATCCTGTATGGTTACAAGGTAAGCTACACATACATAGATAATCTTTCATTATCAATATAAAACACATTTATAATTTTGCGAGTGTGCGTATATATTTATTTTAGTGTCCAACACATATATTCACATTATTTTTCTTTCTTTATCACCATTTGAGGCTCAATTTCAGATCAACTTTTGTGATTTAAGACTTTTCAGCTTCCTGATTCGGTTCATTGGGCACCTTTTTGGGCCTCCTTTTCTTCTGAAATAGAAATAAATTGACTTAAAAATCTTTAAGTCAATTTAAAAACATTTGTTAGGGTTTTCATTTCCTTGTTTCTAATGTGAGATTATTCTACTATGTTATGCCACCTTATACTTCTAATCAAAGAATTGTTGAGTCATTATACGGCTATAGGCCACATTATGCCTTGGATTAAAGATTGTGAAATCATTACACTGTTTTATGATGCTGCTGATTTATAAGAAATACTGTTTTCAGAGAATCATGGCCTTATTTGTCTGATTAGAAAGAACAGAACATGCCGCACAGGAAGCCAAGGTCATAACTGAGGCTCACTGAAAGAGAAAGAATGTGTGGATGTTTAGGCTTTATGACTGTGTAAGGGTGGCCAAAGCTATAAGAATGTGAGAAACATTCAGACACTTCGAGATCTGGTGGACACCCTCCTGTCCACAACTCCCGTCCGGGCGTTTATGGTCAAAGTGCTGTATGGAAGAATGAGATTGTTGATTAAGCATTTATACACCGAGTGTTGTTCTTCCTTCAGCCCAAAGATCAAAGAATTGGGATATTTAACAGTGACTATAAGGAGAAACTACACTAATTGAAAAAAACAACAACACTTTTTTTCCAGAATAAGTTTGTTAAATTTCGGATACTGATCCAGTTACAGTAAATAAGCTGACTTTTCTTTTTTCATTGATGTAAGAGGAGTGATGAGACTGATATGGAAAAAGAGAAACAAGTAATAAAACACTTTAAGTGTCTGTCTGTGGTTTCCAACCACCTCTCTCAGTTTTGTTCCACATTTCCTCTGTTTGCATCTAAACGTGAATTGACACGTTGGCTTGGCACCATGAACTGGGTCGCTGAAACCACAGTGTCTAGCTACACAGACATATTAAACATATCTGTTTAACTACCACCAGGGGTGAAACATGATCGGATTAGTACAAACAAACAAAATCACTTTAATAAATAAATAAGGATTGTTTTTAATTTAATTATCGGAATGATAAATCAGAGGAAAAACTAAAACTAAAAATCAGTTAAAGGGGATCACTTATTATCCCACTTATGATTAAAGTGTTCTTTTGACATTATTTTATCTTCTTTTGTTAAATCAGTTACCTGCTGCCAGTAGGTGTGTCTATGTTTGCGTATACTGTGTAATATTATATACTTATTTGCCTTTGTGTTTTAGATTAAGAGTCGATGCTCTACACTCACAGTTAAGAAGCTATTACTGTGGTTAGTAGAACTGCACGTGCACTCACAGAGCTTTTCATCTGTTGAATTATCATTCATTCAGCGTCTGCAGCATTAATGTGAATTTATTATTCATTATCCTCATCCTCATAAATCTGTACTCCAGCTGTAGTAAGATATAGTGCACATAAATGAAATCTAGTGTGTTGTTGTTTGAGCCTCATTGCCCTGCACTGAAGCTCAGAGGAAGATTTGTATGGGTCTCTGTTGAACCACTAGAGCATGCTGTTTCAGTAGATGAAGTTATTAAAATGTTTGATAAAATCTTCCAGCACAGGTGTGTGCAGTATTAAAAAAAAAAATCAAGCCACTGCAAACCGGGTCATTCTACTATTACCCTCAAATCTTATGTCTTTTTGCCAATAATCACCCCTCTCCACAAACATCGGGTGGTGACTTGTGAGAGCGAGGACAAGTATTGTGTAATGCATTTAACACAAAAACAAACAGAATCTGCATCAAGCACATGTTGGAGCCGACAGTAAGCCGACAAAATCCTCATATTACTTAAATATCAAAAAGTAGTCATTCCCTGAACCCAGCATGTTTTTGAACTTTACTGTAGTACGCTTCTGTTCATCATTCATAGAGCAACAAACAAGGGATATAAAAAATGAAATGTTATGAACCATATTTTCTCATTTTCTGCTAGAAGAATGTGGCTCTACAGTCATTAGCCTGTATCCATGGTAACGCCTGGAGGCTTAAAAAAAATATCAAGTCTGAATTTGATTACTTCTTTTGACACTGAACTTCAGTTTAACTGGAAAAAACTGAATTAAAATTTTGAGAAGCAAAAAAACATACAAGGATGCAAATATGTCTTTTGTCACAGGCAAACTGAAGCGTGGTCCACTACAAAGGCAGAAATAATATAAAAAATTCAGCCTTTTGGCTGTTACAGAAAGAAATGACAAATCGAGTGTGGGATAATGTTTGCATTTTTGTTTTTGGTTAAACCGATGAAAGAATCAGAAATTCTCACATTTCAATAGTGAAAAGAAAAAACTTGAAGTAAATTTTTTACTTAAATTACTTTACTCAATCTTTTTTTTCCAGAACCTCGTCGATCCACTGACGGTATTTTGAGATGTCCGTATAGACGTTGGGTTTATTGGGGTAATTGCAGTTGTTATAGTAGTTGAAAGAAACAACACCAACAGCAAACCCATGACACACCAGAGGACCACCAGAATCTCCCTGTGAGGAGGAAGAATTTTAATTGATCAGTTTATACTCATTGTGTTTATGTTTTTAAGATTTGTGAACATGAAACCTGTTTAAACTGAAAGGACAGAACACATACCTGACAGAATCCTTTGTCTGTCTCATATCCACCTGCACAGATAACGTTG